CATAAGCACAATCAACTGTTCTGGGATTCCCATTCTCCTCAAGGTCAGCCACAATTTGTTGTAATCCACATAGTCAAATGCCTTTGCATAGTCAATGAAACACAGACAGACATTCCACTGGTACTTTTTGTTTGTTGCCAAGATCTATCTGACATTGATGATAATGTACTAGTGCCACAACCTCTTCTAAACTCAGCTTGTATTTCTGGTGGTTCTGTCAATGTACTGTTCCAGTAATTTCTAAATAATTTTCAGCAGGATTTTGCTTGCCTGTGATAATTCCATACTCTGTCAGATCACCTTTTTTTGAAATGAGTATAAATATGGGTCTCTTCCAGTTAGCTAACTAGGTAGTTGTTCTCCAGATTTCCTGGCACAACTTGATGAGTGTATCCAGAGTAGTATATGTTGAAATATGTCATAGGTATTCCATCAATATCTGGGGCTTTATTTTTTGCCAATTCCTTCAGAGTAGCCTGAACTTCCTCCTTCATCACCAGTGCTTCTTGATCGTATGTTGTTACTTTAAATTCTTCTGTGTCAGCCAATTCTTTTTGGTACAGTGGCTCTGTATACTCCTTTCATCTTCTTTTAATGCTTCCTGGATCATCTGATATTCTACCCACAGCATCTTTAAGTATGGCAACTCACAGTTTGAATTTGTTCCTTAGTTCCTTTAGCTTAACAAATGGCAAGCAAGTTTGGCCCTTTTGATTTTCGAACTCCAGCTCCTTGTGCATTTTATTATAATACTTCCCTTTGTCTTCCCGAGCTGACCTTTGAAATCTTCTATTCAGATCCTTAACTCCTTGCTTTCTTCCCTTTGCTTTGGCTTCTCAGTACTCTAGTGCTATATTCAGAGTCTCTTCTGACACCCATTTTGGTCTTTTCTTCATCTTCCATCTTAATAAGTTCCTACGTTGTGATAACTTTTTGTATTCTTCATGGATAATATTCTCGGTATCTTCCCACAGCTCATCTGGTCTTTGCTCATTAGTGTTCAAGGCCTCAAACTTGTTCCTGAGTTGGCTTTTTAATTCAAGAGGGATAGACTCAAGATTAAATTTTGATTCCTGTGGATAAGATTTGACCTTCTTTAGTTTTAATTTGAACTTGTGTATGAGTACTTGATGGTCTGTTCTATAATCTGTACCTGGCCTAGTTTTTACTGCTGATATTGAACTTCTCCAATGACTCCTTCCACAGATTTGATTTGTGTGTACCATCAGGTGAAATCCAGTGTATAGATTGTGTTTATGTTTCTTATAAAAGGTATTTGCAGTGAGTAAATCACTGGTTGGGATAAAAATAAGTATATATAAATAGAATAATATATTTTTTGTTGTTGTTATGTGCCATCAAGTCGTTTGAGACTCATAGCAACCCTATGTATAACAGCCCTAAACCCTGCTCTATCCTGTGCCAATCGCATTGCCTCTGACACACCCAGCCCAATTACCCCAGTCACTGAATCAATTCACCTCATAGAGGGTCTTCCCCTCATGCGCCGTCCCTCTGCTCTACCCAGCATGATGTCCCTCTCTAAAGACCTGTCTCTCCTTACAACATGTCCAAAGTATGACAGACAAAGCCCCAGAATCCTTGCCTCCAAGGAGTAGCCTGGTTTAATCCTATCTAGGATGAATCTGTTTTCTTGGCAGTCCATGGTACATTCAGTACTCTTCTCCAGCACACAGCTCAAAGGCGTCAATTCTCCTTCTATCCTCCCTGATCAATGTCCAACTCTCTGATGCATAACAAGTGATTGCAAAAACCATGGCCTGTATCAGGCGGACCTTAGTCTCCAGAGAGACACCGTTGCTCTTGAGTTCTTTAGAGAGGTCCCTAACAGCAGACTTTCCCATCGCAATACGTTTTTTGAATTCCTGGCTGCTGGTGCCAAGAGTGTTGATCGTGGAGCCGAGCAAACTGAAGCTGTGAACAATCTCAATCTCTTCACCATCCATCCTGATGCTACCAATTGGTCCAGTGGTGAGAATCTTTGTCTTCTTGACATTGAGCCTCAGTCCATACTGAAGGCTGCAGTCCTTGACCCTCTGCAGTAAGTGCATGAGGTCCTCCTCAGTTTCAGCAAGCAGGGTTGTGTCATCTGCATAACGCAGATTGTTGATAGATCATCCACCAAACCTAACGCCATTACTACATGACAATATAAGAGAAGCTCTGGTGGTCTAGTGGTCAGAAGTTGTACTGCAATTCCAAAGGTCAGATATTTGAATCCACCAGCTGCTCAGCAGAAGAATAGATAATCTCCTCTCCTGCGTTTTACTGCCTCTGAAAATTCACTAGGTCAGCTATGACTCAGTTCTGATTTGGTGGCATTTTATTCTCATATAATAAAAAAAATCATTATTTCTAATAATTTTCATATACATTAATCTTATAATGTAGATAGAAATAGAAATGAAATAGAAATAGAAACATATACACACACAAAATACATAAGCTTTATGAGTTATAATCATTATCATCAAGTCAAAACCAACTCCTGGACGACTTTTCAGTGGTTTTTGGAGGCTATAAATCGGAGGGTGCAGGACGAAGCAGTCTCTCAGCAGATTGTCTCCTTCTGGAAACAGAGAGGCACCACTTTTTAGTGGAATAATCCTCTGTACACTATGCCACCAAACTGCTACATAGTAACTGCAGTAGTTTCCAAAATATACGTACGATTTTAAAGCCATTTCCATATTCTTGGCTCGTGCAATTGCTTCATCTCTTTCTTCATTGGCTAATCGAAGCCTAGACATAACAGCTTCATCACGTAATTTCTGTGCATAATATACTTCTTCAACAAGAGCTACCAAAAGAAACAATTCATAATTAATTAAAGAATGTAAAAGAGAAGCACATCTTTCTAGTACAAATAAAAAATAAGAAATAATTCTACCATTTTTTGAAATCCTTGTATAGTCAACTGAATAGTATCAAAGGCAATATGAATTGGTAACTGTAACCTAACATTTTTTAAAGCTACTGAAATATTGAGAAGCTGTTTAGTACCCATAGAAAAGCTAAAGTAAACAACTGTAATAATAATAACATGTTATCTAACAGTGATAAATGTGACACTTAGGACAAGGCAGTCTCTCATACATATTACTTATTACTCGTGTTGCTGTCTGCTGCTATGGAGTTGGTCCTTGACTCGTGATGACCTCATGTGTTGCACAGCAGAACTGCTTCATAAGGTTTAATGACAGCAGTTTTTTTATGAAAGAAGTTTGCAAGGTCTTTCTCCCAAAGAGGTACTGACTGTGTTCAAACCACTAATGTCTGGATTAAAAGCCAATTACAAACCACTTGTGCCACAGGGGTTCCTTATACACTACTCATTACTACTGTTGCTCTTGTGTACTGTCAGGTCAGAAATGACCCATAGCTCACCCACCAGCGGGTTTTCTGAGGCAGTAAATCACATGGAAGGAGACTGTCCATTTTTCTCCTGCAGAGCAGCTAGTAGATCGAACCGCATACCTTTAGGTTGGTAGTGCAATTCCTACCCTAAGAGTTCAATATTCTAACCATATCAAGAATAATTTTTAATGAAGTTGTAATACTTAGTGAAGGAGGAGATGCTGAATCTACAACCTGGAAATTTTCCATTCTGAAATGTATGTAGCCTAGGACCATTTTTGTATATGTGCATAGGAAATAAAAACACAAATTTCATCAATAAGTGAAGAGATAAACAAACTAAATAAAATAAATTGTTCTAGATAGAACAAACTAGCATCCACATGGAAAAATTGAATGTTTTTGTATAGTTGCACTATTTTGCTCCTATAACTCAATTAAGTTTTATCCAAAATGGAGTACAAACAGTCTTTGTCCCTGCTATTTCTAGAACACTTTCTCCTAGGAAGAAGTATCCAGCAGCTCAGAGAAAACAACAGGATGTAACAGGAAGAATATGGACTTTGATCTAGATCCAAGGTGCTAACATTAAAGCAGGCTGGATTTTTAAAATTTGTTACTTTACCTGTCATTCGGGTGAGTAAAATGTACAGTGTTCACAAAAACAAAATTAGATCTCATAAGAGGTCATTGAAAAATATGCAAAACATAATTAAATGAATTCTTAATAAATTTTACATCTATGCCCATGCTGGAGCTCTGGTGGCAAAGTGGCAAGATGCTGTGCTGCAATCCTGAAGGCACACAGCTCGAGGCCACCAGCTGCTCTGTGGGAAAAGGATGGGAAATCTCCTCCTGTGCAATTAATTGCCTCTGAAAAACCACCAGAATGTCAACTATGAGTTGGTTCTGACTGTACAGTATACAGCAACAACATACCAATGGTACTACTCCCAACCAAAAATTTGGAATTTGACTTTATTCCTAGTTACATGAAAGGTCTGATTCTGATCAATTTGGATGACATGGTTTGCTTGTTTGTTTGTTGTCAGGTTGTTTCTTTGTTTTGTTTTGTTTTGTTTTGTTTTAATCAGTTCAAAGGAGGATTTTAAAAAATATTCTCATTGGGGTGTAAAAATTATGAAAAGTAATCTAGAAGAAAATTGTTCCTAGAACCTAGTCTACATTTACACTACACACTATGATTCATATAATTCAATAATTTATACAGAATGTCATGATATTTGATGATGTTTTATAATGTTTACATTATCAAATACTACTAGTTTATGGGCCAGAGAGAATGGATTATAATAAATATAAATTAAATGGTCTAAGTCCAGATTAGCATGTATATTATATAGCTATAAACTATTCTGACATATTGAAAGGTTATATTAGTAAAACTAATCACTAAACTAAATGCCAATGAGTGTTCTACCACTTCTGTACATGTGATAAGATCTTTATAAAGTGACATTTAAAATAAGCTGTGTTTGACTTTGTATACAAGAACCTCTAATGAAAGAGGTAAGACTAGCAATATCAAGGACTTTAATAGTTATCTCTATGCTTAAAAGTAAATGATTTCTACAACAAAATCAGTTGGCCCTATGTTAACAAAAAAAAATTCCCTTTCTATTAGTATTTCAGATTCAAAGATATAAATATATTTAAGGGCAATTACCTCCTGAATAACCTAAGGCTAATTTTTTTAAATGCTGAGGGAAATATATATGCTATAGCTCTAATTTTAGAAACAATGAGAAAAGCTTTTTAAAAAAAATGTTACTAAATGATTATTTGAAAAAAAGTATATTTGGTTATATGTAAAAATTTTATATGTAAAATTTTTTGGTTATAAAAAAGCTGAATCTTCTGAAATATAGTACTTTAAAAGGGTCACTATGCAATTCTCAAACATTTTAAGTATAGAAAACTTAATTGTAAACACTGAGCTTTTCCTAGGTAGATGACTATTACAAAGTTCACTAGAAAATCAATATAGCATTTTAGTTGGAATTTGCTCATTAAACACCCACAGCTCTAATGCAAATTATGATGGAATGAATAAAGCAAATACGCATGCTTCTTTCTTTTTATTAAATGTAAAATCTACTGTTAATTGCATCTCGTATGTCATACAAACTTTTCTCCTTAACTATTAAATAGAAGCTTTAACAAAAGTCATTAGAGATTCTCTTTCTTTGACTTGAATAAATTTCAATATTTGTTCAGTAAAGGTTCACAGCAGTTAAATTACATTAACAAATATTATTAGCTACTATGTAAGCCAACCAAGTAAAATACTTATATTGTAGGTAAAACAAATCATTGGGTGTTTACAATAATATTTGGATATCTCCATTTTTAAACATGGTTATCAAATATCCTGTAATTCTTAGTCAAATGAGAAAGATTCAGAGAGGATCATCCCCACTCCCCACCAAATACTCAAATTTGTTTAGTAAGCTAATTGTTTTCTAATATGGCCAAGAGTAAATATGAAGAAGCTGAACCATACTAAGAATGGGTTTACTGAGTCAAGGCAGAGTACATATTTTCTTAGTAGAACTCAAGTCTATTGACAAATCCATATTTTACTCTTTTCAAACTACTTTTAAAACACACTCAAAATGAGATAGCATATTAGAAATCATTCTGATGTTTAAATGGGAGATTATGAATCTCTAAATAACATAATTTGTAAAGAAGACATTTTTCAGAAAAAAAACCATGTAACATCCGTAAAGCATTTAAATATAGAGAAACCCATTAATTTTTTTAAAAGAAAAACTATCATTATGATTTAAAACTTAGCATAATTTATTAAATACAACTAAGGCTCCAAAAGGTATACCTTGCTAGTGGGATTTACGGTGCAACTGCCATAGTGTTTCTTTTAAAAGCTAGAAACAGAAATATATGATACAGAAATATTCCTAGATCTCTATCCTAGAAAAAATTAGCTGTGATACAAATATACATATCCACATCCATGTTCAGCACAGCATTATTCACATTAAAAAAAAGATGGAAACTGCCTATATGCCCACTAACAGATGAATGGACAAACTCTGTTGCATAGATATAATGGAGTATTATGCAGCAATAAACAATAATGATGACTTTAAGAAACACCTCACAACACAGGTGAATATGAAGAACATTATGTGGAAACCAGTGGGTTTCAGAGACTGTTAATCTCCTGTGGAGCAGCGGGTGGATCTGAACCATGGGTCTTCGAGATTGCAGTGCAGTTTTTTACCACTCTTGTTATGTGCTATCGAGCCTCCTGTGACTCACAGCAATCCCAAGTATATTAGCTCTGAAACTTGCCCTATCCTGAGCCAATCTCACTGTCTCAGACCTAATCACCTTCTAGTCACTGAGTCAATCCATCTCATCCTGGGTCTTCCTCTCCACCCCTCCAAACATGATGTCCTTCTCTAAGGACAGGTCCCTACTGGCCACATACACAATGTGTATGAGATGGGACCTCAAAATCCTTGCCACCAAGGAGCAGCTCAGTTTCATCCTCTCCAGAATAGATCGGTTTGTTCTTCTGGCAGCCGATGGCATCTTCAATACTCTTTTCCAGCACTGCAACTCAAAGGCATCAAACCTTCTTCTATCATCCTTAGTTGTTGTCCAGCTCTCAGATGCACAGAAAGTAATTGCGAAGACCATGGTTCTTACCACTGTTGCTATTATGTGTCATCGAGTTGCTGGCAATTCATAGGGACCCTATGTACAACATCTCTGATACCTGCTCTATCCTCTGCCAACTTTACTGTGTCTGACATACCTACCTTGATTACCCAAGTCACTGTATCTAATCCATCTCATTAATAGTCTCCCTCTTTTTCTCCATCCCACCACTCTTCCAAGCATAATGTCCCTCTCCAATGACTTGGTCTCCTTGTAACATGCCCAAAGTATGTCAGATGAAGCCTCAGAATCCTTGCCTCCAAGGAGAAGCCTGGCTTAACCCTTTCTAGGATGAACCTGTTTGTTCTCCTGGCAGTGCATGGTATATTCAACACTCTTCTCTAACACCACAGCTCAAAGGCATCAATTCTCTTTCTATCATCTCTAGTCATTGTTCAGCTCTCTGACGCATAGCAAGCAATTGCAAAGACTATGGCGTGGGTCAGGCACAGCTTAGTCTCCAGACTGATATCGATGCTCTTCAGTACTCTGGAGAGGTCCCTGACAGCCAATTTTCCCAGAGCCATTCATCTCTTAATTTCCTGGCTGCTAGTTTGGTCCACTATATATATATAAAACTGCAGTACAGCTTCTTACCATTTAGCCACAGACAGAAATACAAATAAATTGATGGACAGAGATAGATATATGTTATACAGATAATAATTTAAAATATATTAATATATTTAATGTTCTTAAAATCTGTACATTTTTGCTTAGGTGGTAAATGGA